TAAGGTAGTGATAAACCCATTATGTGTTAATTTAACACATTTTTATGAAAAATAATTATTCCTCCCACAACTTTTTTTTTTTAATGAGAAGAATGTATTACAGTTTTCCAAGCCTCTTTCGTGTCTGACTTAAAAGATAGGTGAGGTCTCATATCTCCTCCTGCATTCAGTCTGTTGTGATAAGTTGTTTTGGTTAAGGTATATGGCAACAATCCAGCCTCATGTAGATATCTAGTTGGAAAAGGCAGGACCTCCTAGCCTCCCAAAAGGATCTGAGGGATCTACAGGAGTCCTCTGAAAATGCTAAGACCACTGATCTAGTCTAAAAAGGAAAGAGTAGTACTCTCCAGAAATTAGAGAAGGGATTAGGGGAAATTCCATGTGTTTAGCTCTCTGTAAAAAAGATTTAACCATATTTATTATTTGTAGGTTAAAAAAAAATTCTTCATGAAGAATAAAAAATCTTAAGCAACATGATGGATTCAGAAGCTCATGAAAAGAGGCCACCAATTCTAAAATCTTCAAAACAAGATGTATCACCTCACATTACCAATGTTGGTGAAATGAAGCATTACTTGTGTGGCTGCTGTGCAGCTTTCAACAATGTAGCGATCACATTTCCTATTCAGAAGGTCCTTTTTCGGCAACAGCTATATGGCATCAAAACCCGGGATGCAGTACTTCAGTTGAGGAGGGATGGATTTCGAAACTTGTATCGCGGAATCCTTCCCCCGTTAATGCAGAAAACAACTACACTGGCACTTATGTTTGGTCTGTATGAGGATTTATCCTGCCTTCTCCGCAAGCATGTCAGTGCTCCAGAGTTTGCAACCCGCAGCGTGGCGGCAGTACTGGCAGGGACAACAGAAGCCATCTTCACTCCGTTAGAAAGAGTTCAGACGTTGCTTCAAGACCACAAGCATCATGACAAATTTACAAACACTTATCAGGCTTTCAAGGCACTGAAATGCCACGGAATTGGAGAGTATTATCGAGGCTTGGTGCCCATTCTTTTCCGCAATGGACTCAGCAATGTCTTTTTTTTTGGCCTTCGAGGTCCCATTAAGGAGCATCTGCCTACTGCAACGACTCACAGTGCTCATTTGGTCAACGATTTTATCTGTGGAGGTCTTTTGGGTGCCATGTTGGGATTCTTGTTTTTTCCAATTAATGTTGTAAAAACTCGCATACAGTCTCAGATTGGTGGGGAATTTCAGTCTTTCTCCAAGGTCTTCAAAAAAATCTGGCTAGAACGGGACAGGAAACTGACAAATCTTTTCAGGGGCGCCCATCTGAATTACCATCGGTCTCTCATCTCTTGGGGCATAATCAATGCAACTTACGAGTTCTTGTTAAAGGTTATATGAAAAAAATCATCAGTTAAGTGCCATTTGTCAACTGAATGCCTAAGAAGAATGCAGTTTGGCCTCTTTCCTTAAGACACCTACAAGTTGGTGTCTTAAGTCCAGACCACAGTGAGTTATGGGCAAAGCTGTTTTCCTTAAGCATCAACAAAAACAGAATAAAAGGTTTCAATAGGAAAGTTTAAGGTTTTTTTGTTTTGCTTTTTTAAAATCATTATCTAAGAACTGTAGGCCAGTTACCTGCTAAATAGCTGCCCATCTGATGGCCTTTGACAGGGAACCCAATACCCAAGATGTGATTCCCTTTCTCAAAACAGTCTAAACCTTCTGTGTTGGAACATAAGTGGCCTGGACCAGCCAGAGAAAAGGCCCTTAAGGCCCCGGGATTTCTCAAGCTTACTTTATTACTCCATGTCTTGCTTCTCTGCTCTCAGTAGTTACAATGGATAGTCTTCATCAAACTCAAGCATATGACAAAGCAGCAGAACTCCAGAGAAACAACTTATTAGGTATAGACTTTTCATGATAAATTGCTTGTACTGGTTTTAAAACTAAGCACCTGTTGCATAGTCATTATCTATACCATTTCCATTTCGACATGATAGAATCAAGCAGCTAATGAAAGTTCCCATTTTGCTTTCTAGATTTGAAAGTTTTCTGTTTAATTCTGAATGTGACCTTCAGCTTTCCAAGGTATAGTTAGGTTAATTTCACTTATTTCATTGCCAAAAGATGGAGGGACATAGATTATTTTTGTTACAGGTCTTTCATCCTTTTAAGAAAGAAGTTTCATGTTGCATGTAGAAATCAAACTCTAATAAGCTTGGTTTCTTTGAATTATTGGTGCCAACTTAGCAAAGGTTTCTGGATTTTTTTTTTTCATTTAGTAGTATGTCCTATTCAAGCATCCCGTTCTCTTGAAACTCTCCTTTTAAAAATAAACACTTCCATAAATTTTTATTTTAGAAGTTTATTAATGCAATCCTAGATTCCCCCCGGTTTCTAAATGTTACAGAGGGAGGGGGAAAAGGCTCAGGATAGCTTCCACTCCACATTATTAGCTGTCTTTTATTTTACTCTTGGAAATAAAGACTTCTTTAGGATTTTGACATTTTGGGAACCCAGTTTACCGTTGTGTCATTTAAACAATAAGATAGTTCGAGAGCATATGTTCCGCAGACATTTGAAGGGTTATTTTGTGTTCTAGAAGTGATAATAGCCAGATCACATACTCATCCCTTACTTAACAAAAACTTACTTGTCAAAAGAATCAGAAAATATTAAGATATTTTTTCAAGATAAGGCAAAATGACTCATATACCAATTGAATAACTAATGAAGTATAAGAAATAGCCTGGAAAAGTGGTTTATGAATCCTTTAAAAGCCCCAGTCTGTAAATATTGTGTAGTTAAGATTGTTTTCCAGCTTCTGACATGACAGTAGGTAGATTTCTTACTAGTTTTTCGTCTTTCTGGGTAATTGCATGTGAATATGTGCACTTACTGACCAAAATAAACTCAGAGCCTCAACTGGTAGTTTACTCCAAGTTTCTGGGCAAATAGTCCAAAAACACTGTTTACCTCTAAATGCAGTATGACTGGTTAAGTGAAGTGAAGATCCTTCTTCTAACTGTAAAGGATTAGGAGGCATATTAAGCATTAGTTAGAGCTAGACAGTAAGGAAGCTAAATAGCTATATAGCAGCTCTGTTTGACAATGTTGTGCTGGATATAATAGTTTATTTTAGATGATTTAAGGTGCAGATGTAAGGATTTCAGAAAAAAAGAATTTGACGCCAAATAAATGTGAGTAGCATCCTTTGGCCTATTACAGAGTCAGGATTTGAAGGGAATTGAGTTTCGGAAATGAAGACTACACCTTGGTGCCTGACTGCTCCCCCCCCTTCACATGTGTGCCCCTGAGCACTCGGGCATGTCTGGCTCCTCAGGTGAGTTAGCCTGGAGTGGACTCCATTGGGCCTTTCTGCTGGGCTTGCTTTTGTCTTTACACTCCATGCAGGTGGTAGAAATCTAAGTTCTAAAGCACTTTTGTGAAACAGAAGTGAAGTGAGATTCTAAGGAAAAGGCTTTGGTTTCTGCTGTCTCAAGTGGCATTTAAAAAACAATTATTAGTAAATATTTTTAATAGTTTTAACTCAGTATTTTTTTTATTTCTTTGTTACTTTTTACAGCTTTTGAAGACCAAACTGCAAATACATTACCAGAGATGGTTTTGTGTTGTCCTATAGACTTCTTAAATTTGACAAAAAAATTGAACAGAACTTGTAACCAACATCTTTGTCTGAACTTTAAGTCAAAATGTGTTATTAAGAAATTCTAACTATTGTTTTTACCTTCAGTGTGAACTACTGTGGTAATAATTTTGAAAAGGCAAACATGATTGAATAACAATCTGAAAAGCTTTAAAAGTGGCCTTTCTGTTACATATGTGGCACAAACAGCTCATGAGCGCAAGACACTTATGGGTCATATTTTTTGTCTGATGCCACCAGAAATGTTATGGATTCTGTACTTAACACACTTAGAGTGGTATTGAGCCCTCAGGACTGCACCACAGAATAAACACAACCTTTATATGGTGGCAAATTCGTGTCTTATTTGTTTCATCTGTGCTTAGAGATGAAGTTGATATTTTTGTCTAAATAGTTGATATTCATCTTAATATGGTTGGCTCTGTAATCACCTGCTATATATTGTGAACTGTGCAATAAAACACAATTGTGTATATATAGTTACCTTTGGATACCTGAAGTTCCCAAGCTCAATTACAATGGCGATACTCGGTGTAAGGCTGTGCAAACATGTAAGGGAATGATGGTGGTAGATGGGATATATGAAATGGGACCTAGAGGGCTTACTTCAGTGAAGCCAATCGTGTTGAACTAAGAAGTACGGTAGTGTGAGGGGTATGCAGTCATAAGATGAAAGGTAGACAGGTTATGTGTGAAGAAAGGGTAAGCACTCAGATTTGGTTTCTTTTAAGATATTTGTTTTCTCGTGCAAATAAATGCATATCAAAGACTTGAACAGGCATTCTCTCTAAATTTGAGAATTTTTAGTTTTTAGTGCTTTTTGCTTAATAATAATTGTTGCCTAATGGTTCCCAGATTATATGGGAGTCTCTACCTGTTTCCTCTTAAAATTTCATTTTTAAAAGTGGTTAAGCACGTAAAGCTATTTTTGTTTGATATTTTGAGTTTTGTGACTATGAGTTAAATGAAATCTGTTAAATGTTTCAGAGTTAACATACTTTTGGGTAATTGTTTGGAATAAAGTTTTCTAAACCCGTCCTATTTGGTCTACTCTTGTGGTGGGGTAGTTTGTTATTACTAGCACTTTCCTTTTTGCAGTAGGTTAATCTATTACTCTTTTATTGACAAACATTTAGCACACTTCCTTGACTTCTACCAACTGACCTGAGGACTTTGCAGGTAAAACAATCCATTTATCCATCTTGTTTGGTCAAGAGGGGTTCCACATAAGTTTTATTTTCTGGATAGTTTAACTGCAAAGCATTTTGTTTTTTAAAGGTTTTCCTCAAGTGTAATAAATTCTTCCTTACTGAGTACAATCTTTCTTGGTAAGTTCAGGTTATCGGTAATTTCTGTTGTAGTAGTGTCACTATTACAGGTTACCCCCAAGTTAAATGGTTTGGATGTTTGTGCTTTTCAGTTTTTCAGGAGTTTTTTGTTTTTAAATATCTACTTTTGTCTTCATAGCTGCTCCTTTCTGTTGTAGGTAATTGGTTAGGAGAGTGAAGTTACATTAGCTACACTGTTGGTGTGTATGTCAAATACTAGCTTGCTCCCTGTCTTCTAGTGACAGCTGAGGTTGCCTGATAGGTGATGGCAAGATACGGAAGCAGTTCCCATATGTTGCTTCTAAAATTCCAGTTTGGGATAGAAATCTATCATATAGAGAAAATGTAAACCTTGAACTTTAAATGGGGCATCTAATCATATCTGATGAAATGTCATTTTAACTTGCCCATTACAGAGGTCTAGACCTCCGGAGCGAGGCAGCAGGTGTGACCAGGCAGGGCCCTGGGCTGTTCTGCACAGCTGCAGAGTATTCCCAGTTTCCAACAGCCTGGCTCCCATCTTAATCCATTTATCTGAAGTTCCCAACTTGGGAACTTTTTTTTCCTTCCCCCCAATGAGCATATCTGATTCTGGTGTAGAAATTGAGAAGAAAATAGGACCTATCTAAATTCTTGTTTCCCTTCAATCTATTCTTCATATTGTCAGCAATTGTTGAAAACGTCACTTTCTTCAATAAATGCCTTCCCTTTCCTCTGTTATAAAAACCAAACACCATGCCATGGCCTACAGGGTGCAGGATGATCTAGCCCTTGCCTTCCTTACTCTAATCTCCAGCTAAAACTGCCCTCTCAATCTCTGCACTCCAGCCACCAGCACTTCGAATTACTTGGGGCATGCTATACTCATCTCTGCTCCTAGCATCTACCATGCAGATTCCCCCTACCCTGAATACTACCCTGCCCTACTTCATTTATGAACTCCTCCGACTGAGGCCTTCAGATCTCAGTTCAAATGGCACTTCATGGAAGCTGGCTCACACAGAACTAAGTCGGTTCCCCCTGTTACAGGCTCTTGTATCATCATGTTCCTATTTTTCATAGCACTTACCTTTTAATTATGTTGTGATTATTTGATACCTGTTGCCCCTTTAGAATGCCAGTTCCGTAAGGCAGGGACTTTGCTCTGGTTCCCACTGTTTCTAGTGCTTGACATCTGGTAGATGTCTGGTAAGTATTTCATTAAGAATGAATCTCCAGCCTGAGCAAGAGCGAGACCCCATCTCTACTAAAAATAGAAAATAAATTAATTGGCCAACCAAAAATATATAGAAAAAATTAGCCGGGCATGGTGGCGCAGAGTAGCATCCTTTGGCCTATTACAGAGTCAGGA